ACAATCTTGGAAGGCCGAAGGTCATGCCTCAAAAAAATCTAAACTCAGTTGCATTCAGAAGAATTCAGAATAAATTTAAACCACAATGAAAACAGAACATTTATGATTTTTTCGCGAAAAGTATGTTTTTTTTTTCAATAAAAACCGAACAAAAAATTTTTAACCAAACCATTTTCATGTAGACATTGACTACTAAATGTGTGTCTAGTTGGAAGAGAGAATGAAAATTAAAATTTCTTGTAAAACATATAAAAAATATGAAGGTACAACATAATTATACTCCGTTAGAAAATTTCTTGGCTCAAATGTTACAGTAATTTGAATAAACTAATAATGTGAGAACTTACAAAATGTGTTCAAGTAGAAAATATTATCATTAAGGAGCATGTAAGTTTCTTATAAAGGATTAAAATTTCCAATTGACATAAAATTTCTTATTGTCAACTATTTCAGTTAAATTTCTGTTAATTTAGGCCTTTAAGCATAAGATGCACGTGTTTAATAAACATAGCAAAACTTCAAATTTTACTCAGGTGCATTTGCTATTTAAAATTACTACTTTTTTCCCCACACGATTACTTAATTTTTAAATAAAAAATCCAATTTGACTATGAATTAATTAAAAGTTTGGCAAACTGAACCACAGATTTAAAAAATGTTACTCTTCTTGCAAAAGTTACATTTTTTTGGAAATCTATTTAATTTATAAGTATTAATACTATCACAGTTCGTGCTTTACATTTTAAGTAATACAACAGATTTGCCATTTTCAGAATTTCAGAAGTTGTTTTGAATAATATTAAAATATCAATAATTCTTCGATAGTGTTGTTTTATTTAGCTTCAAAATTCTAATTTATGTTTTATAAAAAGAAATAATCAGCTTTATTTTTAAGTTATTTAAAAATAAAATTAACATTTAAAATAACCTGCTTTCAATCTGTGGTTCACATTGCTAAACTTTTAATTCATAGTCATATTTGAGTTTTTTATTAAACATTAAGTTATCGTTTGGGGAGAAAATAAATAAGACATTTTAATTTTCTATTTGTCTAATTTATAAAATTCTTATTAAAATTTTTTAAAAACAGTATATAGGGCGAAATGATTGCTATGAACAAAATAAACTAATTTTTTAAAGCCAGACCTGATTTTTTTCTAGTTTTAATAATTTAAAAGTATTAGGTGGTAGTAGCGTAACGTTTGAACAAAATATGAGACATATACACATGAACATACGGTTCAAAAGTTATGACGAATGGATATTTCAGTCAATATTCACAACTCACCCTGTATATTCATAAAAAATAGGAGATATCTATAATAATAAAAGTCCTATTATAAAAGCCCTGAAACAGAAGGTTCATTACTTGCGATTCAGGATCACGTTATACCAACCAAAAATTACTTGAAATATATTGTTCAAGACCCTCAGGTCCAAAACGACAAATGCCGATAGGGATGGCAAGTCCAAGAAACCATCCAATACCTTATCGGGGGCTGCTAGGCATTTGCTGCAACTCAATATAAAGAACGACATGACTCAGTAGAGAAGATCCTTAATCAAGAGATAGTTTTTAAACTGGGACTTCTACAAACAAATCATATCCCGTATTATCAATACGTTCCTGAGAGTATGCTTGAGAATGACAACCACAAGCTATACTGGGATCGCACTGTACTCACAGAGCACTTGTAGCACATAATAGACCAGATCTTTTCCAAACCAGAAAAGATCGCCAAGTAAAGAGATCTAGAAATACGAATAAGGCGACAATGAAGAATAGAAAGTACCCAGAAGATACCAAGTACTCTTTCTATAACTAGAGTCATCCTGAAGGACCTCCTAGAAAACATAAAAAAGCTGGGTCTAAATGAACATCTATATAAGATCATGCAGAAAGCTGTGCTACTTTCGACGTCCAGATGCATGCGAAAATTGTTGGAAGATACACCAACATATCAAGTCATCTAGGTCTCAATAACATGAAAAGAGTCCCACCAGAGCTCAATCCTTTTGATACCGTAGATATTTAGAATTAGTGAAAAGGGAGTGTGAGCCATATGGCCAAACCTAAAAGTCCTATAAAGAAAACACTGAACAGTGGTGGACAGTGCCAGTACTTGTGATTGTACTCAAGAATTACATTTTGACTAATGCTTGACTTGTCGATTTCCACTCCGAAAATCGTTTTCAAATAAATAATTATTTTTAAAAATTCTGCACAAATGTATATCCCAATACAATTTTTATAAGTTATCGCTGCAAGAGAGATAAAATGACTTTAACGATGTTATCACATAGCAAGAATGGACAGAATAATTAACTAAAAAATAAGACACAGAGCATAGCGAGAAAAAATATATATCTTTGCATCTTCTGATTGCGCTACAAAACCCTTTGGGGATCTTAGCCTGTTTAATAACGTTCTTCCATTCTGTCCTGTCGGATACTTTTCTTCGCCACTGCCTGATGTTCATGGTTTTAAGATCTTTTTCTGCATCGTTCATCTGTCGTATAACTCGACGTTTCGGTACCCATTTTGGAGCCAGTATCAAGAGGGATATGTTTCCGTTCGAGTTCGGGGTCTCAATCTGCCTACTCGTGACTGTACTGAGGTCTCAATCTGCCTACTCCTCAGTGCCGAGTATATATATAAAAGACAAGGAAAAGTACGAATTTGTTAACAATGAACCAACGACAGTAGATGGATAAAAAATAAAAAAATGTAGCCTCATAGATAGAACGAAGGCAGATGGACCTAGAAGAAGCTGGAAAAACGAATTCATGTTAAAATAGCGTTAATAGGAAAACAAACAGCAAAGAAACCCTAGATGACCAAAAGGATTATAGAGTTATTGTATGAAAGAAGACAGTACATCTAGTTTTATCGTACTTATAAGTTTTATTAACTACGAGAATAAATGACGCCACTACATCCTTACAAAGGAGAAAAGATTGAGGAGGAGGAGGACAAGATGTAGATATTGCTCCACATGCTGAAGATTCCATGGACGTACCACTTCAGAAACGAAGAATTTCTAAGACATGGATCGAGAAGTTTTAGAAATACTAAAAAGGAAGAACCTGCTTATCTTAAATTTGTGCTTGGACAGAAGAGATATAACTAACTTCCTGCAGCTTCCAGATAATGGAACAAAATACCCACTAATAAGAAAGGCCCAGTGGGTAGGGGTTACTGAAGAAGGTAGTAAACACTGTTATATCCTAGAATATTTATATAATTTTACATTAAAAATATCCAAAATGTTGTCTATTTGTGTATATAAATCGAAAATAAATACAAAGTGTTGAAATTACTGTAAGACCCGAATAATAAAAGGAAATGGTAAACAAAGAAGACCAAAAATGTTGGTTTAATAAAAATGTATATCCAGACAAATAAAAATAAAATAAAGGTTTATATAAAGGTTAAAGGTTTAAAGGTAATAAAGGTTTTATAGAAGAAAAAACCGTAGATGAAATTGTTGAGAAAGAGGGACCCAATAATAAAATGGTCTTAAATAGACCATTTATATATCTTTATATATCTTTATAAAAGATATATAATTTAAATTCCCTTTTGGGTTACATCACAAAACGTTTTTGAACTAAAAAGTGTTTTGTTACTTGCACATGAGCCTTTTAGAACCCATTCAGACACTGTCTGATGGTCAGCAGCAACCCCTAGTGGGAGTCTTACGTTGGCATGTAGGTTATCTGAGAAATATCCAAATATCACAACATAATTTTAAATAAAATGTTATGTCTTACATTGTTACATGTCAAATTTTGTACCATCTAAAGGATTTTATGAGGTATTTAGTGGCAACTCATGTGCACTCAGTAATAAAACTCTGATGATGGTCTTTTTGGTCCGAAAACGTTCTGTGATTAACCCGAAAAGAACTTTAAATTTCATACCATTTATAAAGGATTTTAAATAAACTTTTGATCTACGAATTGTTTGCTTTTTGATTGGCAGATATAGGCAAGGGAGAGAATGGAGAAAAATTGTAGAAATATGCGATAAAAGAAAAATCTATTGTAATTTAAATTATAAATCATATAAATAAATCATAAAAATAAACCACACACTTGCTAAACAGAAACAGTAGATATATTGAAACTAGAATAATATTAATATTTTAATCACAGTCATATTTTTTAAAGTTTGTACCACTTTTTTAATAGAAAAAATAAGGAATAGGAAAACAGAGAACATGAAATATAATCGGTAAAAATAGATCCAATAATAAGAATAATAATAGGAATGAATCTTACAATGACAAACAAAATCGCAAAAATGTTGCCAAAATAATATGTAGATTGAAAACACAGTGAGGACGGCGAATGTTAAATAGTATTGGAAGTGCTAATAAGCTAGTTAGTAAAAGCCGAAGAAGAGGAAGACAAAAGAAAATGATTAAAAAAGAGGTATCTAAAAATTTGAAAAAAAGAGGCACTTACAGAAATGTCTCCTTTAAAGACAAGTAAAATAGAAGCTATGGACTGTAAATGATGTTAAATAAGTAAGTAAATAATTTATAATATAAATCAAAATTGGAAATTCTTTATGGTGCTTTTTAAACTTATATTTTTTAAAACGATTTCCGAGCTGATTCAGTAACAAGTTAAGCGAAAAACATCTTTCGACATCGACAATATATGCCATATAGCGCGAGAATACAAAAAGAAAGGTCGTTTTTGAAATTATCATGGGATAAATAATCTATGACAGATGTAAGCTAACAAAGGACAAAATCCATCACCGAATTTTATGTACCATTTGCTGTACAATTTATAATATTTACTTAAAACTGACAAGAAATGCTAACTTACAATATAAGAAACCATTTTTGTAATAAATTTCATCCGAAAAACTTGTCAATACGGTATATATTTTGCAAAATTAACAACTTAGTTACTAAAAATTATATAAAACTGAAAAAAAAAGATCTAAACAATCAAAAACTAAAAAAGTAAGGTTAAAAACTTACAAATCCGTATCCTCTACTTTTTCCAGTTTGTCTATCAGTAATCACTACAGCCTCTTCGATGTCCCCGTAAACAGCAAAATGATCTCTAAGTGATTTATCACTAGTATGATAGGGTAGTCCTCCAACGAAAAGTTTGGTCCACGTCGTGTCTTTATTTTGAACACCGTTGCCGTTTAGGGTGCCAGTGGCTCCTAGTACCCCAAGGCCTCCTAGGCCCCCGACCAGGCCATCAGTCTCGGTGGAGGCTGTTATTCCTGTACTTGGCATTAACATCTTTGGAGTTTGTTCTTCAGAGGGATCTGACAGAGTAACGCGCGGCTCCTCGGCAACACGCGCGGAGTTGTGGATATCAGGCCTCGACGTCGGTCTGGTGGGTCTTGTCAAGGGGTTGAAAATGTTGTTTATGTATTCCTTGGTGAAGGTGCTCTTACGATCTCGCATATGTAAGCCGGTGTGGACATAAAAAATCGCCGACACGTGGTGTTTCCTGCACACGAACTAAAACCACTCTACTACTAATTTTAGATTTGCTGTTGCGGCGACAGAATAGAACCGAAATAAAGCACAAGGGATAGGGACAGAACATCAAACTTCGCGCGCGCTAGCCGTATGAACTACCGTATGTGGACTGTAGCGTTCAACGCCTCGCTACTGTATGCGACTGTCACTAAAGCTTGGCTTAGTACGTAATGCGCCCCCTGGATTGAGTTAATCGGGGGCTTTTTTCATTCGGACATTTTCGTTGTACTTGGGGTCTATCATTCTAGTTCGCCGCGATTGCAAAAAATCATATACCGGGCGGCACAAAAATACAATTAGGAAAATAATTTTTTTCCATTAAAATTAAATATTTATACCGTGATGGACAAAAAATTCGAACAATTATTAATATTTTTTTAATACCGATATAAATTAGCCATATTAGTGTCCAAAATCCTTAAAATAAACGTCCACTACTATACATAGGCGTCCTTATTTTATTTTCAACCTCCTTCAGTTGAACTAATTTAAAAAGTAGTTTAATTTTTTCAAGTAAATGTGATTTTTGATTTTGTTGTATCAGACACAAAAGCTGATTAATTTTTTTTTCTTAAAAATTTGGTTTCTTTGTTCTTAAAACATGTTTTTTTTTAATATTTCTTTGACAACCGATATTATCATATCGACTTTTACTAATCTGTGGCTACTAGTGGTAATGAACTGGTTGAATGGCTACTTCTTTAAAAAGTCTCTTTTTTTTATGAAAAATCAATTTCGTTTTTTTGCTCTTTGCCTGGGCTTTCCAACGTACATATTTTGTTCTTTGTCTTTTAAAGCTGTTCATTTGGTAGATATTATTTTTCACATTAGAAGATCAATAGTTTTTTCTTCTGTTCTAAAGTTACATTCTGCTAAGACTTCCTTGATTCCTATTTTGTATACGAGTATTGATTGCCAATACCATTTATTCGTAAAACCCTTTGACTTCCTTTTCTTTGTATTACGTTCTTCTTCTACATTTTACTCAGCTTTTCAGGGATTGCTGTTTCTTACTCTTCTTGCCACTTGTTTCTGTTCAAGGTATCTTCTTCATTTAAATATTTATCTCGTAGGTCCTTTGCAACACAGTCCTTCTATATTCTCCTCAGTTTTCCTCTACTTCTCTTTCCATTAACTACTAGCAGGTCTATCCTTCTTTTCACATAGTTCTCATGTCTACGTTTGACTTGACCAAAAAATTGCAACCTTTTTGAGAGTGTAGTAACCCCGGCTCTTTCCCTAATCACATCGTTCGTGATCTTGTCCCTTCTAGTCCTATCTAATATTCACCGTAGCATTTTCATTTCAGCTACCTTCATCTCCTTTTCCTGAATCTTTTTTATCGGCCACACTTAACTCCCGTACACCAACGCGGGTCTCACTACACTTTTGTATACATGTACGAGCCAAGTTGTTTAGATTCTCTTGCTTAACCTAGTTTTCCCCTAAGCAATTCCCAATGATTCCTGTTGCTTCTATCCACATGTACTCTGTTTTCTTCATGCTAAACTTAAGTCTTCCCTCTTCAATAACGCTTTTCTAACCGTCTAACTTCTCCTGCAATATTTTTCTGCTCTCAAATACTAACACGGTATTATCCGCAAACAGCATTGACCAAGAAGCCCTTTCCCATTTTCCTGTCCTTCTCTATCAGTATATATATCATCAACATCATCATCATTGGCTTGACAATCCTCTGTGGATCCTGGCGTGCTATAAGATTAGTCATTTTCTTCGGTTTCTGGCAACGTGTTGCCTTTGGTCTCAACTACATCTAACTACCTAATTCGCGCTCGGCCTCTGCTTCTTCTTCCTACAGGTGTTCCTGTCATTAGCTTTTTAGCAATCATGTTGGTCATGCATTCGTATTATGTGTCCGGCCCACCTAAGGCGCTGTGTTTTAATGAACGTTACGAGATCTGGTTCATTAATGAGTTGTTATAATTCGAAACTAAATATTTTGCTCCACAGCCCTTAATCGTTTATAGCTCCAAATATTTTGCAGAGTATCTTACACTCAAATATTCCCAGAAGTTTTTCATCCTTCTGCGTTAAGTCCATGTTTCTTCCCCGTATGTGAGGACCGGTCTCAGCAGTGTTTTGTATATAATAATTTTAGTTTTTCCAATTCTAGGAAATATTGCTCAATATCTCGCTTGCTACGCCATATTATGTCAATATTATCAACGTATACTAAGAATTGTATCGATCTTTCGTAAATAGTACCGGCATCTCTAATTCGTGTATCTTGGACTGCCTTTTCCAAGGCAATGTTAAATAGGAGGCATCTGACCAATTGGTCTAAACCAGGATCATTAATCTTAACACACGCACACACAAACACACACACACACACACTCAAATAGACGTATCCCCTTGTCTGAGTTCATCCTTTATCTCAGAGGATCGAGAATTTTCTCCCTGTATTTTAACGCTGGCTTTTAAGTTAGACATTATCATTCTCGTTAATCGGATAAGTTTTTCAGGTATACCAAACTCACGAATTGATTGGTATAGTACTGTTCTCTTGACACTGTCGTATACGGCCTTGAAATTGAAGAATAGGTGATGGGTTTTAATGTTAAATTTCAATGTTTTCTCAACAATTTGAATAAAAGAATTCTTATTGAATGAATCTGGTCAATTGTTGATTTCTCTGGAGTAAATCCGGCCTGGTGTTTTCCAACTATGCGAACTGTGTAAACTTGTAGGCTTTCGTAGAGAATATTTGTTAGTATTTTGTAAGTAGGTTATACCTCTAGTTGTCACACACCAGTACAGTCTATCTATAACAGGATTAAACAGGTAGCGACATAGTGAAGAATCTTGATGCAAACCCAGTGTCGCTGGAAAACTTCCGGCCAATCCAACACAAGTCTTTACTTTGGTTTACGCATATACTTACGTACTTCTCAGCAACCCATTTCTCTCTCATATATATATATATATATATATATATATATATATAATATATATATATACATAATATATATATATAATATATATTATATATATATATATATATATATATATATATATATATATCCATAGCTTTTTTTTCCCAAAACCCAAACTATTTTTCTCCTAGTGATGTCTCCTTAATTTTCGCTCTACAGTTCTCTTTGAAATTGTGGTTATGTGCGGCATTAAGTTTATCTCTCTATAGTTATTATTAATCTCTGAATGTCCCCTTTATCTTTATACAATGATACCGTCACGTATTTCTTTATATTGCATTGTGGGGATTTACAATTGGTTCTAGAAAAAAAAGCTCCAGTTACATTTTGAAGATAATAAATCTTTATTATTTTTAAAATGTAACTGGGGCTTTTTTCTGGAACCTGTTGTAAACCGGTCATACTGTACCTCTTTCATTCATTCATGGTAGCAATTGCAGGATTCTGGAACCGTGTACCAGCTGTTTATACATGTATTTGATAGTAATCATATGTTTTTGAAATCACTTGGTAGTCCACAAAAAGTATTTTAAATATGTTTGAAAGGATATACTTTCTCAGATTCATCAGCTCTTTCGGTCCCATGTATTTTCCAGTGACCTTAGTTTCTGAGAGTCCCCACAGCTGGTTCACTATGTGGGCATGTATTGACTTCCTTAAGTTTAAAAGCCCATAAGCTAATTTCTCTTGCACAATGTAGCGTTGCATTAATCTATATCTGCAACACAGAAAATCGAAATCGACATTTCTCCGCTTCTGTCAATTCCTGAATTCAACCCTTCTGCAATTTTAAACCTGCCTGTGTACAAGATGTAAACCTCCAGGCTGATTTCTGTGTTTCCTCTATCCCACCCCTTTCTTGTAGTACTTTCAATAAGATTTCAATTGAAGAAGACGCATTTCCTGGCTACAAAATTGACGTGACACCCATTTTACATACGCCATGTATGGAGAGGTTACACGACACGTTGTGTCTTGGAGGACGTGAAAGTAGAACACAGAGCGTATATGTTACGAACATATAACATGTACGCTCAGGCTTCCGGGTTGAACCGCGTTGATTATTATAGCGCCGAGCTATCGACATCCTCTCTGATGTCTTCGTCAGGGCTTCTGAGGTCTGTCTTCCGAGCTCTAGACACTACAACACTGATTACTAATCAACGCAGTAATGCGTTGATATAATATATAAAGTCAGACTAGTTGTCAGATAGCCTTGTCAATAGCTGATAAAAACCTCATGTATTTGTCAAAAAAAATTAATTTAACTTAATTTATGTTAAATACAATACGGAACTAATATTGTGTGTTGCTATTCATCCTCTGTTATTTTAAATATCAGAAACTGTGCCTTCTAATGAGTGTACTAATTTTCGGTGTGAATTGCAACTGATACATTACATTTTTTTTATTAAGTGAATGAGACAATTCTGTTTTAAGTTTTAACAAGTAGCTGTATCAGTGAAGAACGTAAAAACTGTAGCTATTCACTTTAAATCTACGGTGCTGCAAGATCAAACAGTTAATCAATATTACCATTTAGAGTTTTCACGAAGACCCCGAGAAAATCTTAGCAAAAGAATCTCAAAATATAGAAAGAAAACTTCTGGATTCTTCATCACAACGCGCCAGCTCACAACGCATATTTTTTCGTAGACTATTTGGCTAAAAATCAGGTAAGAGTCATAGAGCATCCACCCTATTCGTCAGATTTAGCACCCTGCGATTCCACCTGTTCCTAAAAATCCAATCCTGATTAAACAGTGGAAGACTTTCATAAAGTAGTGTAAGTATGCCAAAAGAGGGTATATTGAAGAACAAAAATTTAAAAAATATAAAAATTTCTAAAATAAGAATATTATATTAACAGTAGGAATTTAATTGCTAGATCTAATAACTCTAGAATTTAAGTTAACGAAATGAGATATCTTAGAAAAGTGAAAGGCATTATAAGAATTGATAGATACACTGAAATTAAGCGAGAGCAAAATGAAACACACTAAACAAATAATAAATTACAACCCGAAACTAAGAAAAAGTGTAGAATGCCGAAAAGATGGAGATGGAGATAAATTTGATAATGAAACAAACAATACAGGCAAGGAGAATAAATGCAAATAAATGTTTTTTTACATTTTTTCAATACACAAAACTATTTACAGAAATGTGAATGAACTATTTCTACCACAATTTT